CTGAACATTGCGTTACTGCCCGCAATGCACTAATATATGTGGCTGTAAAATTATTATATGTTATGCTTTAGTTGAAAATGGTGTACATTTCATGCATTGTCAATAAGAAGGCGTAGTTCAACTAGCGGGTGTCGATCAATGTTATACCCAGTAACGAGAAGCGAACAGCTTACATTCCACAGATCACGTTTCTTATTTATACCTTATGGTAACAGTATGTATCGTCCAAGATACAAGCGTACGTCACACTTCGCCCTAATTACACTCTACTGCCGATTTAACGTATCATATTGCTCGATTGCCACTAATCCATAATCGCGCATTCACTCGTCGTCGTCGTCGTGAGGAAAGAATTACGCGTGACGTGCGAATAATCCAAATGAACTTCATTTGAATCGTTAGTGAGTGCTGTAATTATGTGTGTGCTCGTATAGGTGTGTACGTGTAGGTGACTGGACTCTTAGCATCACTCGAAGGAGGTTGAGTACAGCATTTAGCACTTGAATCAATGTAAATTCAGTAATGAATCTACAAGGAGGAGACCGTATTACCCCCGCAGTGTTTCGTTACTGAAGTTAAGGTTTTGTGAGGCGAAGCAATGATGATACAAGTTTCACCTGGAATATTAATGCGTGTGGGTTCGTAGTGTTTTACTAAGACGTTCCACGTATTACGCGCCATTCTCTTGACGCCTAGAAACGATCCCAGTAGTATCGACCTAGAGTTAATTGGATGATTGAAGACGCTGTCAACATAGACACTGGAAATCACGTGGTAACGGGAAAATTTCGGACGTTTTCTTTATTTTTTATTACATATTTGATGTATCATGTTACAAGATGAAGGGAAAATTAAAATAAAAACATGAGATAACCGTAATAAGTTAGGAGAAAAAACTAAAACATAATAAAATGAAAACAAACAAACATTTTGTTGTGTTAGATCATCTCATCACTGCTTCCTCTCATTATCTCCAAATTTTGCTCGATGACGTATGGTGATATATAATGTCCGAGTCTTATACGGTTTATTTTAATGCCTACATGTATTTTTAAAAAAGACAATAATTTTAACGGGGAAATGTGTTTTTATTGTGGCCTATGGAGTCCGATGTTACAATGACATGCTATACGTATTATTTTACTGTTTATTCTCAACAACAAAAAACAATAAAACAGATTCATACTGTTGACTAATATTAATACGAATAATTACCGACAGATTTTGACACCAAATATTGCTACTGATATATGTGCTAAAATCTTCGCACAAGTGAAAAACTCGCGAGTAGCATTCTACCTTAAACTCAGTGGTTACATCGTTCATAACATTTCATTTCTCATGACCCTTATGACATGCGTGCGATCCACATAATGGGTCGCAGCCTTTATATATAATTTACATATGTACCTACATAATATATATATATAACTGGGGCTATCATTCATATCACATATTATATTTCCTTACAGCTTCCGCCATTATTGTCACATTCGTACACCGAGCACGTAGGGTCGTGTATTTATTGCAATCGTGTGTTTCTGTTATATCACATACGGATTGTTCATTTATATATTGCCTTGCAACGCTCACATCGTATATATGCGTCGACATTATAACTGAATATCTAAACGTGCTTGATGACTTCACGGTTCGTGTGTCGCCAGAACCAGATATTTTAGCATTAAATAATGGTGTAACAAATTCTAAAAGTATCAATTTCGCGCCAGTCTGTTCGACGTTCAATGCGGTGCGCTAAACTGTGCTATTTATAATATTGCGATGCAAACGTGACGGAAATGCGATAAATAAGCAACACGAATGCGATAGTTGGGCGACGCTAATGATGTAAATGCACGAATTGGAGTGACAGCCTCCCCGAAACTATACTGCACTTGAATCATTTGCGCGTCCGTCGACGTCCTTGAGTGATTCGTTACCGAGAGTCACTCAAGTATCATGTAGCTGCCAATACATCGGTGGTTCCGTCAGTGGATATTGTTGCACATATGATCCAAACATCGTCGATTTCCTTGACCATATGTGTTCATGTCAGTTTCAGTGCGAACGACAACGCAAGTAAATTCATATAGAGTAATAAATCATGGAACTTCGTTTTACTGCCTCATCGATTACGTACACATACGACCCGTTTTAATTTAAGAGGTCGGGAGCCAATAACGCTATACACAAATCAAAACTGTTCATTGA